AATAACCCATTTACAACAAAAGGTCTCCGAAGGAGGAGTGCTGTGTTCCTTTACTACGTTAAAAAGACCGGTCCAGTCCAGTTAAGCAGCCTGTTGGCTTATCATGAGGGGATTTATTTATTTATTTAGTATGATTGTAGCATTTTTGGGACTGTCTTCCGACGGTCCAGGTACGAGGCTCACTTATTGTTTTTGCCAATAGTAGAAAGTAGAAACAAATTCGGACTTCATAGCTAGTTAGCAACAGTAGCAGCCATCTGCTTCAGGCCATTATACTGCAAAGTGCAAAGGGCATTGTTCCAGTGCCCAATCCCTTACTCCTTAGAATGACATGTGAACTGAACGAACCCAAACAAATTAAATCGACTAGGACCAACGTCCGAAACCTCCTTATTACAAAGAAAAGGGATTTAGATTTGAGAGTACTAGTTTCCGGAATCTAAGCATTAGACAAACTAAAAAAAATTGGGGAAGGGAAAGAGACGAACAGTAGATACTTGTATAAGAGTGTGACATTCATTTAGTAATTTCTTTTTCAGTATTTGGTTGTGTACTTTATTTGCCAAGTAGCTTGAAATCTAAAATTAGAAAATCCTCAATATCTTAGGTTTTTTCCCCCTTGGTACATTGGATAAGCTACTGGAATACAAACCCAGAAACACATGAAGGGAACATCTAGGATTTGGAATCTAATGCAAGTCACATGCAGGTGACACTACCACGTAGGGACGTACCAACACATTAAAGATCCTTTGGCCTCCTCAACCCCTTGTTGCGAGCTGAGTCAGTTGAAATCTCCATTTTCGTCGGTTAACCTAACAGTTTCATCTTTTTAAAAGGTGCCTAGCATATCTTCGTAAATCTAGAGATTTCTCCTTAATATGACCAAATCATAATACAGGCCATTTAAGCCATTAGGCACACTAATGATGGTAGGCCAAAAGCCCAAAGGTGTTCTAGCATCCGTGGAGGCTTCTCCCCCCCTTTTGCATGAACAATAATAAGAAGTCAAAAGGTTATTAGCAATGACTTTTTAGATGATTGCATCCTAAAGAGAAAGACAACCAAACCAATTCTCGTCCCTTCGTTCAAAAGTAAATGAGAGTCAAATTCATTGCTTTTACACTCAAGTGCTTTTCTGCTGGTTTAGATGGAACAGTTGAGGCTCAGCAACCCTACTCTGAAGAAAACCCAAAATTATTGACTTAACCCTTCGGGCCAGCGAACCGACTAAGTCCTGAATGCCCTTGCCGGCATACATGATCAAATCCTTGTTTTTTCAATACAGGCTCACTTCCACGTGTAACATTTTTATTGCCAAGAAGCAGAATATTCGTTTCTAATCATGATAAAATTTATTCCGTCCTGGTTTAGATTGAACCCATAATGCATGGTTCTGGTTCAATGGACTGTGAGAAAGGCCAATTTAAAAGACTATTACATAAATTTTTTAAGTCATCCTAAAGGTCTTTCATGAAACTTTACCTATCGTTCTTGCTTCTTTCTTTGGTTCACTCCTCCTTGCATCTATATTAACAACTCCCTTCAAAACAAGAATGACTTTTCAGACATTGATTCATTAGAAACGATATGCAAGTTCATAACCAGTCTTACTGATGCTAAGCTGAAACTTATTTACAGGTCTGTCAATTTCATATCAAAGTACTGCAGCTTGAGATTCAAGTCATGTAACAAGAAGCAATTATCAAACTTCAAAAGAAAAGAAAATAAATTTTCATTTTTCTTTTCATTTTTGAATATTAAAATGAACAATCAGCATCGTGTCCTTAAAAGTGAATTGGGAAACCACAAGGTAATATTAACATTTTTAAATGACATACAGGAATGATGATGGTAAATAATAGAAAGCCAATCCCGATAAAAAAGATGGGAGGAAGCAATCAAAAAAATGGGAAAAAGGAATTACGAATCACTGTTGTTAGAGCAAAATGATAATATATAGGTTGTCTTACTCTAACAATGGTATGATCCTGGATATCCTCATCGCAAGCAAACCAAGACCTTCCAGAGCCTACGCGTTCTTCTTACAATTTTGCTGAGTTTTCGAGCTATGACAGCTGTAAGTAAATATGTAGGAGGTGGAACAGCTGGAGGGGAATTCGCTCCTTCTGGAGCAATTTCTGAAACAAAAGAATTAGATGCTCCATTGCTAGTACGGCCACTGCTATTTTTTCTAAGATAGAAGCTCCTGCTACCAGCATCCCCAATTATCAGTGATTTATCCAAACCTACTCAACCAAAAGCATCGAAAACTTATCAAATAAGTGTAGCCAAAGAAGGAAATCAAATAGAACAGCAGCAATTCATAAAACTTGAACAACATAATCAATTAACAGTTATCTGCAACCAAATGGATAGAAAAGAATGGAAAAAATGAGACCGCTTACTTTGGAGGCTAAAATAGGAGTGATGCAATTCCAATCCCGAACTGTGATCAAGCTTAGGAGTTCTCCCTTCTTCAGCATATTTGTCTACAACAAGCTTTATAGTCTCTTCGACACTGGACCCCAATTTGACCATGCTCCGTACTGGTCCTGGACTTCCTTCAACTGATACATTGATTACAACCTTAGCATCTTTGTTGTATCCCTGCATCCCAAACTTCACAAACAATCGAAGATTTCAGTTCTTAGACAATTGCTAATGGTCAAGCAAGCAATCACAAGCGATAACATCTAAATCAGGTCATTGGATTTGGATCTTAATTGACTAATGGACTCTGGATTGGATACTGGACTGTTTCATGACATCACACGGGAAAGTGAAACCATGAAATTCTCACTTTAATTACACCAAGCACAAACCTTAAACAAATAATAAGTTCGCATGAAATTTCACGAGCTGTTAAAGTGAAACTAACCGCATCCTAATTTCATGACTATTGATACTTTGATAAAAGGATATTCTATTTCCATTTATTGCATATCTAAAATCTTCGAAGAATTTCCTCCAATTTTATGATTAGTTTCAAGGGTATTCTTCACGGACTCAAAGATTTCGAGCTTCATGAAAATAGAACCATAACTACCACGTTCAAATTCGTGTTATGCATACATTGTTACAATTCCAATGTTTTTAAAATCACTCAACTAAAATCGATACCGTAGGCAAAAGCTAGGCCATGGAAAACGAAGAAGAAAAGAAACAAGAAAGAAAAAACGGGATCCAGTTTGACCAAGGAGCGTACCTCAAAAACCTGCTTTGGAGAAGAAGAAGAACGAGGAGAACCAAAACCCAAAATACAAGGAGAAGAAACAAAGACGTCAGTACAAGTTTGGGGCCTAAACAAAGCCCCTTCCACTTCAGACCCCAATAAATTACTCCTTTGCTCATCTTCAGCAACACTGCTCCAAAGACACGGCTCTGACGCACATCGCTTCAGAATCCCACCATGCTTCGACGATCTCTTCGCTGATCGCCGATGCGGAGGAGGCGTCCGTAGCCTTGGGGACGGTGATGGATACGGCAGCCGTGGTCGCCGGCCTCTCGGAAGCCGTCGTCGAAGACTCTTTTCGGACATAAAAAAGGAAAGGGTCAAGATCAGTTGCTTTGTTTATAGGGCTCCTTGTTTCCCGATGTTGGCTTTGTTTTTTCCTTTTTCCTAGGAATTGTCTTGAGAAGGAAAGGCTTCTGGTAAAGAGGGAAGGGCAGTTGGAAGAGGTAGTTGGTTGTTTGCGTGGGAGTGAGGGATAGTTTTCCAAGTATCTAACTGGTTTGGTTTTTGTAAAGTTGCCTACTACCTTGGTATTGGAATTGGAATTGGAATTTTTTGGAGCTTGGCTTATTCGAATACTTTCCTTTTTGCAGACTTAACGTTACAGTTTCACCATTAGCCATTCTCCTGTGAGGTGGGAACCACTTTCAAGTCCTGCCCAACCCCACCATGCCAGGCCAGCCACCCCACCCCCAAAATTATTTTTTTTTTCCTTACATGTATTCCTAAAAAAAATAAATTGATCGCATTTGAGCCCAAAAAATCCAATTTAAATACTATCGCAAATTAAAAAGGAAAAAAACAGTATTTGTGCAGGACTATAGATTCAAATATTTAAGTTAGTAGAAATAAAACTAAAAATTTTTCTAATTACTTGCTGTTATTTAACTCTCTCTCTCTTTCTCTCCATTTGATTGAATAAGAAGTAAGAATTGGGTAATATTCGACTTGGAAATGTCATTTTCAAGTGTCTTTGTTGTTTTGAGTTGTACCAATGAAGTTCAAACAAATTGCTTGATTAAATATATACATGTATACATATATACTCAAACGTGATTCATTACTTAACCCTTAAAACAAGGGAACCTTCCTCTTTTGTTTTGGCCTCCCAAAAGTCGTCCTTAGTGGCACCTTCATCTTTTGATTTTTTGTTGGCCAAGCCATCTTCTGATTTTCAATCAACATGCCATCAATTAAAAACAAACATTACTACTTAAATTCTAATCAACGAGAATATGAATGCAGAATTCCTGTTCAATGTCCTGAAACTTACCTCATCCAATATCAATTAAAGTATTACCTCATCAAGCATGCCCTATATGTAATTTTTTCTGGCCCTAGACTAAACCAGGGGTCACCATAATCGCTCCTTCAGAAAATAAAGGCAACAAGGGAAAAAATAAATTATATTTTTCTCTCTCGTCCCAAATCTTTCTTAATCAGTATGGGCTTGTTTGGCAGTTTGCAGATGCAGTGGGGTGGGTTTTCAGTTTCCAGCTTCTACGATCGGCTGCAATGAAAGATATTAGATAGTTGCTTTAGCCAATGAAACCTCTTCCCGGTTTGTAAACGTTTTGCAGGCTTTGGTCTGGGACTGTAATAAGCCGTTTCCCCTACAACAGCCCAATTAGAGATTGGGCCTTTAACCTAGTTGGTCCCTTGGACTTCGGGTCCTAACTCATAGCCCATGCTTGTATTAGGTGGTGCAAAGTTTATAAAAGGGGTTTGAAAAGAATAGAAAAGAAAAGACATTGATCTAGGGGAAGAAAACAAAATATTTCTATATCTTTGTATAATCGTGACAGTTAAAAAAATTTAAGAGGAACAATTAATTTAATGATGAGTATGTTGTAAAAGAAATAATAAAAATAGGAAAAAAAAAGAGAGATATTAAGAAAATATTTTTTTAAGTGTTATTGAAACAATGCTTGGAATGAAAAATAAGATACAAAATAAGAGTGGGGTGACCCCCTATTTATAGTTAAAACCCCTTATAGATCATTGGCTATTACAATCCCATACTAAGATATATCTTGAAATTACATTCTTTTCTTAATAAATCTCACATTATCATCTAAATAATATCTACATGTAGATGAATCTTGAAATGTTTAGAATATGGATGATACATTTATCATTTATCAAATTTATTTTAATTTGAATTACTCTAATATGGTGTGATATGTCTATATTCCATAATACTCCCCTTTGAATGGAATACCATTGTGGTAGCCTAGTTGGATGTGCTATTACTGTCTTTTTAAAAACCTTAAGTTAGAAAAATCCAATGAGACAAAAAACCAAACAAAGGGAAAAAATAGTATAGTATACTAAATCCATAATTGCTCCCCCTCAATAAAACCATATTGCCATTTATGGGATCTACTACTTATGGGGGCTTACCACTTTTTAAGGTAATTAATATTTTGCTACTCTAGGGACAAATCAATCTTTCACTATATTTCAATGTCATATACTAATCTCTCAAATGTTGACATTGGTAATGACTTGGCAAAAAGATCTGCAAGATTATTCAACTTGTTGACTTTTTTGAAGTTGTAAGTATAAAAAAACTTTGGCCAGATATGCTTGGTCTTATCACTTTTAATATATCCTTATCTGATTTGTGCAACACAAGTAACGTTGTCTTCATAAATTATAATGAGAGAATTTGTAACTGATGTTAAACAACAAGAATTATAAATATACATTATAACGAATCTCAACCAAACATGCCAAACCAGAGTTGAATCCTTGGAATAATATAATCTCAAATCTATGGTTTTTCAGAAATAACGGAAGATATATTTTATCTCATTCTAATGTCTCCGGGTTGGCTCAACAAGTTTATCGCAAAAGTAATATCTGGCCTTGTACATGGTGACATCACAACTATAAATGTGCTCATTGGTGAGCCTTGTCCATGTTAAAATATCTAAACAATCTCTCAATGTATGTTGACTAATGAACAAGTATTCCATTTGCTTTGTGTTCAAGTTTTAAACTAAAGACAAAATTTGGTTTTACCAAAATCTTTAACTTCAAACTTTTTTTTCAACAGTTTTAGATAACTCTTTTAGAGTTCCAATCAAATTTATATTGTTGACATAAACTGCTACCATAGCATATCATATTTTCGATTTTTTAATAAACACATATAGTCAGATAAGATCATTTTTGTATCATTCCTTAATTAAGTATTCGCTTAAGCATTGATACCACATGCGACCAAATTACTTTCAACCTTACTATAAATTAATTATGAGGAGAAAAAAGGATGATGAAAGTACCTACTGTAATTCTACTCACAGAAAAAAGGATCCAACTATAAGAGTTTTTAGAGGCCCACCGCTGCCATAAATTAATTATGACAACTACAAGGATTCTCAAAGGTCCACCATTGCTTCAGAAGGATGCTTTAGGTCCATTGTCGCTTCGGGCCAACTAGATTGTATACAAAATCAAAATCTAATTGATTGTTGAAGAACCAAGAAAATTACCTCCTCTTTTGATAATTTTCTAATAACGTGAGAAAATGCTCTTTAAGTATTACTGAAGCAATATTTGGAATGAAAAATAATTGTGATATAAAATAAGGGTAAGGTGACCCTTATTTATAATTAAAGCCCCTTACAGATCAATACCCATCACAATCTTTTACTAATATATATCTCTAAATTACACTATTTTCTTGATAAATCTCACATTATCATCTAAATAATATCCACATTTAGATAAATATTGAAATATTTAGAATGTAGATAATATATTTATCATTTATTAAATTTACTATAATTTGAATCGATCTTATGTAATGTGATATGATCATGTTTCATAATAAAAAATTTAATTTTTAATTAAAAATAAATCTTTTTTAAAATAAAAAAAACCCTTAAAATTTCCACTAAATGAAATTTGGCAAGGACTACTTGTAAGAGCTCAATACTATTTTTTTTTAAAAAAAATATTATTATTAAAGAAAATGAAGATTTCTTTGGAGGGAGGGTGCAATGCGTCGGCTTGAAGTGCAAAATTGGTATGCTATGAGACTTTGACATTAAATCATTAACCAAACAATTAATGCGCAGTAATGGAAGTGTTTCAAAGTTGAAATGATGCTTGTAAAATAGTCCAGGACGCCGAAAGAGATATTGGCCCACAAACTCATGGTGAATGCCTCCATGCCTAACAATGCAACAACCCCCCATCACAACTTCAACCCCACTATACAGTCAAAGTTAGTACATACGGCATGCATAATTTCGCATATACCCTTTTTTGTTGTTGGAGAGTTCTGAAAGCCCTGGGTTATCCTTTGAGGCCAAAACGTGCAGATTAATAGTAGCAGTCAGACTCAGAGCACCATATTCATCTCGCATGCTAGTTATTAGTAGTGTGTGTATATATATTTCTTTGGCACAATCTAAATCTATTCAGACTCATGACTAATCATAGCTGTACTTATAGAAAACGACAAAGAGAGGGAATAGTTAGGGGAGCGGGGGGAGGGCGATGGCTTTGGTGTGGTGAGAGTCCAATACCAAATGATTTGCACACGTCACATCATCATGAGCCACTGATCAAAACATTGGTGGGGGCGAATCATCAGCCTTGAAAGTGAAGAGGCTTCGGTCCACCCGCATGATTGGATTTTGATACGCATTCCCTTTTTACCTGTTTTTTTTTTTGGCTCAAATCCAACACTGTTTCTACTGAAAAGATTAGTGTGTGTCCCATTCTCAGATGAAAATGATTATTGTTAATTAAAAATTAAAAATTAAAAAAAGAAGAAGAAAGAAATACAGGGCTCACTCTGCCATGGCTGATGGCTTTCTATATTCTAAATTGGTGAACTTTTATCATTTGGTCACTTGCATGATGTCAGTGAAATGATGAGCTCACAGACCCATGCACACTGACAAGTGGACATCTGCTAGTTCAAACTGACTCTCTTCACATCCTTTGCACTTGTCATAGACCCGGTAATTAGCAATAAATTATTTTTCAATATGTAATTAGTTATAAAAAATTAAGAAAAAAATCAAAATATAATGGGTTTAAATTTTAAACATTTATGAACATTTTTATTGTTTTTACCAATTTTTTCTTCAAATTTTAAACTATTCAACACAGTCCATACTAATTAGGAATGAAGGTGTGAAAGTTCAAGTGACCAATGAACAATTTGAAACAATCATTGGGTTGCTAGGGTCAGTGACTCAATAGCAAAAGAATTTAGCGTGAAAGGACTAATGATGAGGAAAGGGAATGAGAAATAGAAATGGTAGATGGGAACTTATAATGGCAGTCTGGTCATGCTTCCTTATTTCCTCGCAAAGCTCAATATCTATCTCTATCGATCGATATGTTCAAAAGTTATGAAAACAAAGATAAAGCACGACGTGACTTTCATCTTAGCGTCCCCCTCCCTTCTTTTTGCTCTTCGCCCACTTTTAATTACTGCAACCTCCCTATTCCTACGACCAGCACTTTCTTCATGATTTGAAAGTCTCTTGGGGCCCCTACTAATCATTCATTACAACAGTTGTCTCTTATTAATGCTTAATAAGTAATCGTGGGGGAAATCTATTACTGAGATATCTAAGAAAAAAGAAAAGAAAA